AATGAGAACTCAATTAGAGGTCACCAGTTAAGTTCGAATCAAAACATGAAGCCGGTTGGGGTTTTGTCGATTTGTTTCAGTTAACATCTCATATATTCGCAAAACACAGTGAGAGGACGAAGATCGGCAGATGCATGCATTTCGTATGGTCTCTTCATGGCCGAAAACCATACCTGGAAGAGAAATACAATTTAAGTGATGCAAACGTGCAAACAAACGAAAGGAAAAATGAGAATTACGTCACTGTGTCCAAGGCAACCTGAGGCTGACCGATAGTCGTCTTTCAACGCAAAGCTCCGCTTTGATCCGGTTTATCGTAACAGTCTCAGTGAAGCGATGAAGACGGGAATTGGTATGCCGCAGCAGGACATTGAACAACCTACTGACCTCAATCCGGTGATCTGAGATCAATAAATGGTTATGGGGAACTAACTGTTTTAAATCTCCTATATTGTTGATTGGCTCCCATGTGTCAGTTGCTTTGCTACGACATAGTGTCTCCTATGCATACTATTCTGTGCTGTCTCAGCTCGTCTTCGCGTTCTCATCTGCGGTCGTGGATTCTGAGCACTAATTCCGCGGCGACACATTAAATTGACTCCGAATTATGGGGTTACCTAATCACCCCGCAGTGGTGTGACTCAGATGCGGTAAAGTGTTGTTACTTTTCTAAAAGCTCTGATACGAAATGGCTACCTTCCACACAGAAAAGGACGGAGATGACCCACAGAGTTCAGATCCTACCTGGCTGTGAAAGCTGGCATTTATGGTTGACAACACATCATAGATGAATGAACTGAGTTTAAAACAACAAAGAGAACCTCAACTGTTATTTCCACAGAGGCATAAATTGATTACGGAGAAAGCTGTTGTTGTTTGGATCAAACTGGAAAGAGAAGAGTTTACTCATTTTCACTGTTTCAGAGTTTAGCGTTACGATCAAGGAACTCTCTCCGGGTTTCCCGAAAAAATTATTCGTGAAATGAAAAGGTATTTTTATTGAGATTTTTAGAATTGAGAGCAGAATTCCTCTGTTCCAGAATCCGTTTGATTGTAACAAAGGTTTTCCAGTTGAGCTACAGTTGGAGCTTATTGCTTTGCAGATAACTGGTTTGTCGAAACAGAAACACAGGAAAGAAATAGTTGTTGGGATCTACCGCTGCTTACCTGAGGCTGAAATTGCGGAACTGAAGTTTCTCGCTGGTACGGCATCAGTGTTGGGAACGAACAAACATTCGAAACAATGAAGTAGGTTAATTCAGTTCAAAGTAACTAACTGATGAAATTAGAAAGCAAATTTTCCTAATTGGATGCAACTCATCCAAATCAAACACTGAGGACATTTTGATAGACAAATCTTCAATTTCACAAATCTCATTTTGCTGTCTAATTTATGCCATTCGGATTTAGGCATTAAACGTCGGAGGCAACCGTCTTCTTGCGTATACCGTTGATAATCTTTTAAGTTAATAAACTTGCCGGCTGTTTTTTTATTTATATAGCGCGTAGATCGTGCGCTAAATCCTACGATGTTAGATGGCCAGCCAAAAGCAATGGGTAAAAAGCAAAAAAATAAGCTAGGGAAAAGGTTAACTGAGCGGGAGAAGAGCTAACTAATGCTAAAAAATAGGGCACCAGAAGAGAGCTGGCAAGGGAAGATGTAGCAGGGCGTCGAGCGTGAGGATGTGTCGTTCACAGTACAAGTCGCGCGTTTCAAAGTCGCATATCGTATTCGTGTTTCAAGCAAACAGGGACAACGTTCCGATAGGCAAACCGCCAAATTCCCTAATACATAAGAAAAATATAATTTTAGAATAATCTACATAGTCATATGGGGGAATCTCCAGGTCACTACAGTACTAAATTGCACGCCGCTCACTCACGTTTAACGTAAAAGGCTGAACTTAGTTCATTCATTTTCTGTCCAGACCTTGAGTTTCGGCCTGAGAGTATAGTACACATATCGAAACTGTCCCGCAGTCCTCATTTTGTTGGCAATCCGAATGCCGTGGAATATGTTTGGTGACCTCTACTCTAACATAACTGCAGTAAAATATAGTAAACGTAAAAACTGGTTAACGGCATCCCGATCCGGATTCGCGTGTCACTGCGGCCTTCATAAGATATCTACAGAAAGCCTTTACATAAACAGAAACCGTGGGAAGCAGCAGAAGCAGCAGCAGCAGCTATAGGGCAGCGGAAACCAGTGACTACTCGTGAATCGGAACGACAACGGGATTGTAGAGAAGGGATGAGACGTGAAAAGGTTATGCGAGTGTTGCGGATCGAGCCGACAGCGGATCACGAGCGGTATCCGGTAACGAGCCTGGGCCCAGAACAATGGTGTTTGTCGAGAACGCAATCGATCGGACAACTACGCCGCTAGTGAAGCCAACAAGAGTGAATGCGGGTCGAGTGATGCAGCCACTGGAGAGCAAATCGCGAGCTTTCGAACGACTCATGGCCGGCAAGAATCGGATGTAGCGAAGCGGAGATACGGGATGGAAAGATGAAGGGTTGTCTCGAAGCATAACCTTGTAGGCACCTGGAATGGCCCATCACAGAAATCTTCATCCGCGTTGCGTCGTAGGAAGGAAACACAGTCAAACCTGTACAAATTTGTGAGTCATCGGTGGCACGTTCTTGCGGCAATGCACACCTTGTCCCCGTGTCGTTTTCGCTTATATATATATATATTGCGAAAATGCAGCGGGTAGAGATGCCTACATGTAGCTTAATCTAATAGCTTGTAAACAAAGCTACCTATTATTATGCTTATTATTCTTCAAACTTCAAGTCAGCAAAGTGCGTGTCCCGGAGTTTCTTAAACCTCGGCAGCGACTTTGCTGCGACTGTCTGCGAGCAGGTTATTCTAAATATTTACCACTCTCTGCTCGAAGCAAGTTTGGTGTGCGACCCGCCTTAAATCCGGTACAGGAAGCTCGTACCGGTGTCCTCGTGTGCTGATTGGTGTGCGCCGTTGAAACAGCGGCCTCAACATGGGGTAATCACCGAGATGTAATAGCTGTTGCGTCATGACGAGGGTAACCCAATCTCTTGCACCGGTATTCATATGGCACACCTCATAAACCGAGGATGAGCCTTGTGGCAACATAC